TTTTTTTGGTATTTTCACGCAAATTCTTCTGCTAGTTGGGGTTTAGTCCACTTCTGTATCCTTCCCTTCAAGGCTCAGGGGTCCAAGATTATCTTCTCTATCTGTGTTAATTGGTTTCTCTTTTCTTTGTTGAAGAGGGTCTGTGCAGTCCTTCTTCCTAGTCCGCCATCTTGCCGGAACTCTCAGGGTAGAGACTCTTAATCATTTTTGTATTCACTATAGTCCCTAGGACAGTGCTTTGGACAGTGCAATGGAGGTCAATAAAAGTTTGTTGAATTGAGTGCATTTGTGCTAGCCTTTTTTTAAAGGTACAACTAAAATATATAACTTAACTATTTTATTAATAAAAATAAGCATTCTCATACACAGAACCCTATAAAGCCATGCAGATCTAGCTGCATAGTGTAACTTTTGTGAACATTTATTGAAGAAAATAAGACATGCCCATGTGGCGGTAATACCTTAAGACTGACAAATCTGGAGCAAGCTATATTTTGGTTTTTTAAATCCAGTTTTAATTTTTTTAATTTGATGGTAATTACTTGTTTGTTGCTAATAGAAGGGACTTCGGCAGTGGAACAGTTATTGTATAGATGAGTAATAGGCTTATGAGGAGACTTGGGTAGTCACAAGTTGGAAAGGAAGAGATCAGAAAATGAATTGTACCAATTTTTCTAGCATTTCTTAAGGCACACGTGAAAGCGTGCTGTTCTATGTCACTTTCCCTTTATTTCAGCCTGTGTGCCAATCTCAGATGGATTGCTGTATATGAGCAAAGCCTTTGAGTTAAAATGTTTGTCTTAGGACTGGATTGTTGCTTGAGATAAGACTGTAAGCCCTGCTGCGTGTATGATGTTTGATTCCCATCCCTTGGCCTTGCAGTCATGGCACTTCACACTATTTCTTTTTACCTAGGTGTATGTGGTTGGAAATGAACCTTTGACAGTTTTGGTGGATTCCCTACTTCCAGTCCTGGGAGTACTCTTCTCTCTCTACTGTTTTACCAAGCAGAGTGTATCTCACATAAGGTAAAGGACAAGAAAACATTACTTATTTATAAATAGTAAAGTCTTATTTACATATTATTCTTGTTCTTGTTTTTGAATATAAAACTGAAATCATTTTGTCATTGTTATATTTGGGGATCCTTTTTTTTCCTGCTCATTAGTAAAAAAAGGGAATTTAGAACACAGGGAATTGGATGTAGCTTTTGGAATGGCTTGCCTCAGCCTCAGTCCTAGACATCAGAGATAACATCTCTGTTTACATGTATGAAAATTCCACTGTTTGATCAGTGAGATATACTGAAATGACATGTCTAGGAAGAAGGAAGTAGGTGATATAATATTTGTGGGGAGTTAGAAAACCATTTTGGGAAATCTGGGTCTGAATGTAGCGCACTGGGATGTAGACATGGATTTGGTATTAGTATGCAGAGTGTTTAAGAAGAAAAGATTACTTAGTCATCCAGACAGTAATCCGGATGTTGTGTAGCACACTGGGATGTGGACATGGATTTGGTGTTAGTAATGCAGAGTGTTTAAGAAGAAAAAGATTACTTAGTCATCCAGATAGTAATCCGGATGTTGGAATTTAAGTAAGACTCATTTTGTATTAGCTCTATATCCTTAGCCATTTATGTTATTTCTCCCTCCTGGTAAAAGTTACTATCCTTTTATACCCAAAAGTCCTACAGAATTTTGACTTTTTTGGTGTTTAGAAATCCTCACATATAATCTAAGATAGAGTAATACCACCTTCTTCATAGCATTACTATGAAGATGAAATACATTTCACTTATATAGTAATCCATGGTACAGGCTTATTAGCACAGTCCTTGTAAGTAAGCTCCAATAGTAAGCTCAGTAAATGGTAGCTATCATCAGGATTGTCTTTTTTTTTTTTTTTCATTTCTAAATGGTGTAGAAAGATACTCGGTCTTGCATATTATTCAAAGCTTATGTGCTGTCTTTGTGCTTTAACTTTTGGTCAGCATAGCCACAAGGGCAGTGACAAGAGGTAATGCAGGGAAGATAGACGCTATAAATATGTGCATTTGGCTTCAGAGAGCTGTCCCTGTAGTAACTCTGGTTTTAGTTTTGAAACCTAAGTCTTTGTAGCACTATCATGTCCCCATCAGAGACTGAGAAGGAAGAAGCAAATACTTATTGTATTCCTCTTTCAGTTGACTGACACAGATAAAAGGATGAGGAGTCAGTAATTGTTGATACTTGTTTTCTGGTCACCAGCTATTGGTCCCACTGATAATGGATGATCAGCTTTGGATCATAAGCAATAGTGTTGAAATTACCAAAAACTAAAAAGTAAAATAAAAAATCATATGGGTCTCATACAGCATATCAGGGTTACCTCTAGAGCCAAGGAGTAGTCAGTCACTCATGAAATGTCAGAATGTTTGCATTATGATATTCACAGGAAGCATACTTTCCACTCCTGCATGTCAGTCTCCCTAGGTGATTGTGCCAGTATTTAGAATGCGGTGAAGCTGACAGTCTTTCTTTTCTCTTTCATGTTAGCTTGTTAGAAGTGTAGAGTAAGATGACAGGCTCATTATAACCACTTTTTCTGCCAGGTCACTTTGCCAAGAGATCCTATTATGGATTCTGAGGAAGCTGGAAAGGAATAGGGCAATTTCCAGCCTGAAAGGATTTACACGGTTGGACAAATCTATGCCCTCGCTCCATTCTCTGTGTCAGTTTAGAACTGCCACTCAAGGTGGCATTATGATCACCATCCAAGAAGCCATTAGGTGAGTCCATCCTTCTTCACTTCAGATTTAATTCTACCCAAAGACCATTTCGTGACTCGACCACTAAGGGGCGCTGACAGAAAGGAAACCAGAAACTTTCTTGGGGTGGAGATACTTGTTATTTTCTCTGACTGTGATGGGAACCTTAAGTAATCCTTCAGGTTTTTTTCCTAGGTGGTAGCACCTGGGATCACTATGAGTCAAAAATGAACTCAGCAGCACCTAACAACAACAACAAACTGATACTATGTACAATTTATTTAACAAGGCCTCACAGCTTCACATCACAGCAAGCCCAATTACTTTACAAAGTCTTTGCCAGCAAATCAGAGTAAAGTCAAATATGTGTTGACTCTCATAACTGGAATAATCCAATTATTTTTCTGACTCTAAAAATGGTGTGTGTGTTTTGCGTCGGACTTATTCCTAAAGGATATTGTTTAATAGCTATCTTTTGTAGTAATTTTATAATGAGGCTTATTTATTCTAGAGATTCATTAGCTGTAAGAATAGAGTATTGCCCATTTTTAAATCCTCAGTGCCTGACCTAGTTAATACTTGGCATATACAAGATGCTTAATAAATGTTAGTTGGATGTATGAATATATGACTCTGATGTCTTGTGGGTATGCATTTTAATTTATTTTCATTTTCTAGGTGATACATAACAAATTCACTGCCATTGACTTGGTTCTGACTCATAAGGACCCTCACTGGGTTTCCAAGGCTGTAAATCTTTAGGGAAGGATACTGTACCATCTTTCTTTCATGGAGTAGCTGGGGGTTTCGAACCACTGACCTTTTGATTAGCAGCTGTTCTGGTTACCTAGTGCTACTCTGACAAGAAATATACCACAAATGGGATGGCCTTAACAAACAGGAGTTTATTCTTACAATTTGGAGGCTTTAAGTCCAAGTTCAAGTGCCAGGCTCTAGGGGCTGGGTGAAAGCCCCTCAACCTTGGGGTCCAGCTCTGCCTCCTGCCTCCGGCCCACTGTAGCCAGAGGCATTTCTTCACTCAAAACAGCTGCTGGCTGCTAAAGCTGAGAAGTCCCAAGGTTGACAAGTTAAAAGGCATAGTCCTAATGTTACCAATCCACATGGCAGGCCATTAATTTAAGTCCACTGTAAGTCCCACGGTCGGCAGAGCATAGTAGGCTGCTGAGCAATGACGTGGCTACATGCAGGGTCCAAGTGCCACAGGCTAGAGACCATTCTCAAAGCTTCTCCTTATATACAGGAAGCAGACCACGTACTCAAAGGCAGCTACTCAGCTGCTTGTGGTAGATCCCATCATGGAGTTGATTGCCAGTCTCATCATGGGGAATAACTACCACCAGCTGCCCAGCCACTCAACCAGGCCCAGCCAAGTTGACACACAAACATAACTACAACAGCAGCCAAATGCCTTAATCATAATACCACCAGAGCTCTTTAGTCAATATATATATAGAATGTTATTACCTCAGAATTTAAGTTCCTGTTGATCAGAGTCCAAATAGTATTTAACTAGTGGCAGCTGCCCTAGTTGGATACCCTATGACATTCAAAAGAAGCTCTGGTAGTATAGTGGTGAGACATTTGCTGCTAACCAAAAAGGTTGGTGGTTTGAACCTTTCTCTGTGGGAGAAAGATAAGGCAGTCTGCTTCTGTGAAGATTTGCAGCCTTGGAAACCCAGTGGGGGGGTCTCTATGATTAAAAATTGATTTGATGGCAATGAGTTTGGTTTTCTGTTTTTTATTACAGTCAAAGTGTTGCTGTTTCTTTTTTTTTTTATTAGGATTTGGGTGAAGATTTACAGAGTAAATTCACTTTTCATACAGCAGTTCACATATACTTT